ACATACAGTTAGTTTTTTGACAAAATCTATAATTAGTATGTGAATGCGAACTGTGTTGAAAAAAAAAAAAGAAAAGAAGCCAAAGTTATAACGTATCAAATGGGATTGGAAGTTATTGGGTGGGGAGCCCAAATATTCTTGGTACATATAGGCAAAATTATATCCCCAAAAGTTTTGTTTTGAAAATTCAGGTTTATAATAAGTCTTTTGTAAGTCAGATTTTAAGGGATTTTATTAATTTGAATAATTAAATTTTTAATGCATTTAATTGAAATGATCTGCTCCCCCTTTAATGCAATTTGGAGAGAGAGAGAGAGAGAGAGAGAGAGAGAGAGAGAGAGAGAGAGAGAGAGATCTTCATTACAAGTAGCAGACGTCACACATTGGCTCCTTTAGAAAAAAAAAAAAAAAGGTCACAATTAATAAATTAACCATCAATTCAGCAACAATTCTATGTAGTTTTGTATGTACTTTTGTCCATAAGTCACAAATTCATGTTCATATTAGACCCATTTGGCCCATCAATCACATATTATTCAATAAAATATTATTATACGTAAATCAAAAAAAATTTTTTTTCTACCCACACATTCTTCAAAAAAAAAAAAACCATATTTCTAAAAATTATAATCTCAAATAACAAGGGTTAAACGAGAGATAAGTGTCTAAAAAACCACCCGTCACATAGTAATATAATTGGTCGCACAAATATTTGTTTTTGTGGTCGTCGTTGCTGATCATATTACTAGTCACATGTTTTTTGTTTATAGAATTAGAACGAGACATTCTGGTCCAAATTAAAATAATGGGCATTACATTCAACAATTCACTGTGATATACATTAATCAAAGCGTTGAAAACGACCACATTCAATTCTAAAATGGCAATCCCATAAACTATCTGCTTGTCGTGACAAAACCCATATATTAGATGGGTTTTAATCACATCTATAAAACAATATCGTCATAAAATTAATTTTTTTTAATTATGAACTGATTTTTGTAATTTCTAAAAAGATTTGGTATTTATCAAGATCAAACATTAATAATTTATTATTAATTACTTTTCCCTTTTAAATATTCAGTCCAACTCCAATACGTCTCTTTTTTAATCTTCCTTTTGGAAAAAAAAAAAAAACGTGCCACTCCAGAAATTCAAAATCCACAACTAAAAAAATCCTCTTATTTGTCCGTATAAATAACCTAATTACTCGCGATGAAATAAAATTAGGATTTTTAATTATCAATAGATAATATGACTATAAATCTATAAATAAGTGTGAATGAGAAATCCACTTCCAAAGTTTATGTTCCTCTGTTTTTTTTTTTGATCTGTAGTTTGCATGAACAAGTGGAATCCACTTATTTCCCATTGTCTACACGGATTAAACCATATGTGCAGAAAAATATTTGACAAAAGTTTTACACCCACTCACACGTGTAGGGCCCACTGGAATAATAAATGGAAAAAAAAAAAAAAGGAAAAAAAACCCACCTCCCTGCCTACATTGTGTGTATTTGGTTTTCCTATGTGAAACCATGCTTCTGTACAAGAAGCATGGTTCTTGTCTACATACACTCGTCCTTTTTCATGTCAATCATAAAGTGTCTTTTTGCATACTCACTTGGTATAGGGAGGAACGAGACCAAACAATCTCCCTTACTAAAGGCAATAGCTT